CATTCTAGTAACCCTTCTTTGAACCCTTTCCAACAATTCACTGTATTTCCTAAGGTAAGAAGCCTAGGAATAAACACAGTATTCCAAATGTGGCATAATCAGTGACCTGTACAAAAAAAATTATTACCTCTTTAGACATGTATTTAATATTTTGTAGATACAACCTAAAATACTATTTTTCCTACCATTAGCAACAGCACATTGCTTGGATGGCTTTAGAGACTGATCTACTATTACATCAAGATCCCTTGCCTTCATTACGCTATTAAGGTTATTCCCATCAATTTGTACTTATAATTCAAATTATGATACCCCAAGTGCATTATCTTGCATTCATTATAATTAAAACCAATCTGCCATTTATTTGTCCAACTCACTAAATGATCTAAATCCTTTTGTAAATCAGCAGCATCCTCTTCACAGCTAGCAACACCTAAGACCTTAATATCATCTGCAAATTTAATTAATTTATTGACTATTCCTTTATCCATGTCATTGATGTAAGTCAAAAAGAGCAAAGGTCCTAAAACTGAGCCCTGAGGTACCCTACTTGTGACATTAATCCAGTTTGACTGAACTCCATTTGTAACAACCCTCTGTCTTCTTCCATCCAGCCACTCTTCTATAAAATACAATTTGCTAATCTATCTCCACATCTATAGAGTTAATGTTATTTACAAACCTTTTATGTGGAACCTTGTCAAATGCTTTCTGAAAATCAACATACACCAAATCGACAACCTTACCCTCATCTACATAAGCAGTAACATTTTCAATGAATGTAAAAGGATTTGTAAGGCAAGGTTTTTCCTTAGTAAAACCATGTTGACTACCCAATATAATTCTAAACTTTGTTTAATGACTTTGCAAAGCATCATTTAACAGACTTTCCAAACTTTTCCCAGAACCGATGTAAGGCTAATGGGTCTATAATTACTGGGACAATTTTTATCACCTCCTTTGAAATGAGAAGTTACATTAGCTCACTTCCAATCCTCTGGTACCTGATCACTATTCAAGGACTGACCAAAAATAATACTACATGCATCACCTTACATTTTTGATATTTAATCATCATCTACCACATATTGGCCCAATGCATCAAATGATGTAAATTTTGCTGTAAGTCTGCAGCACCTTTAATACAGTTAGCCACCCCAAAACTCTTAATGTCATCTGCAAACTTCAAATTGTTAGTCATTCCAGAGTCAATATCATTAATATATATATCACAAACAACAGAGGACCCAGCACAGAGCCCTGAGGCACACCGCTTGTAACTGTGATACAGTCATTTATCACTACTCTCTGCTTTCTACTCTCCAGCCAATTTTCTATCCAATTTAATAACATTTTCCCCACACCTACAGATTTCATTTTGGTAACAAATCTTTTGTGAGAGACCTCATCAAATGCTTTCTGAAAATCAAGGTAAACCAAATCCACAATATTTTCTTCATCAACTTTTGCAATAACATCCTCAAAAAATGTTAGAAGATTTGTTAAACAAGACTTTCCATTGGTGAAATCATGCTGGCTCTTTAACACTATACCAAACTGCTTTAAGTGACTCTGCAATGCATCTTTAATCACACTCTCCAAACCCTTTCCAACTACTGATGTAAGACTAACTGGCCTATAATTGCCTGGACAATGTTTATCACCTCCTTTAAATATTGGACAAACATTAGCCAACTTCCAATTTTCTAATACTCTTCCACTACTCAATGACCTATAAAAATATTAGGTTCACAAATAAAATCTTTAAGTTCCTTTAAAACTCTAGGACAAAAGTTGTCTGGTCCTGAGGATTAATAAATTTTCAGGTTCCCAACTTTTCTCTTACAATTTCAGAACTTAAAATGATATATTTTACATCAATATTTTCATTATAGATTAAGTTCTCTGGTTGAGGCATAATACTTGTATCTTCCTTTGTAAAAACTGAAGAGAACATATAATTTAATGACTTTACCATCCCATAATTTTCCGAGATCAGCTCCCCACTATAATTTAAAGAGGCCCAATACCCATACTAACATTTTGCTTGCCAATCATATATCTCTCAGCCAACCCTCTTTCATATACAGTTTTTGCCCTTTTAACTTCCTTTTTAACCAGCTCTCTTGATTTTTATTGTCCTCAAATTCCTTATTATTTCCAGTAAGTTTAAATTTCTTGAATTGATTATGTTTATCCCTAATATGATCTCTTAAATCTTTACTAAACCATACTGTCTTATTCCACTCTGTTGCCCTTTTTTTCTGTAGTAAATATGTATGTTCTGTATGCATATCAATTGTTCCCTAAATGCTTCCCACATCTGTTCAAGATCTCCACACAACTCCTTAGTCCAAACTACAGAAGCCAGATCATGTCTCATTCCATCAAAATTTGCTCTCATGAAATTTGGATTCAGGGTACTTTTCTTCTTCAACTACAGAAGCCAGATCATGTCTCGTTCCATCAAAATTGGCTTTTCTGAAATTTGGAATCAGGCTACTGTTCCCCTTCAGTTCTACGTGTAGTAAAATCCCAAACCTAATAATATAATGGTTGCTTGTACTTAAATTTTCACCAACCACAACTCTGTCTATCATATTCACATCAGATGCTAATATTAAATCTAATATAGCTTCCTCTCTTGCGGGTACCATCACCAGTTTGTGTATAAAAGTATCCCGAACAATTTCCAAAAACCAATCCCCGTCACTGTCAGACCCAATACCCCTGAAATTAGAATCTCCCATAACAACAACATCTTTTTCAACTACCATTCTGATCTCATTATACAGTTTCTCATTAACTTCCACATTCTGACCTGGTGGTCTATAACAAATCCTGATTACAAGACCGTTACCTTTATATCCACTAATTCTAACCCAAACTGACTCAACCTCTCAGTGCTATTTCTTTAATATACTCTAACTCAATAGGATACAATCCACTCTTCACATATAAAGCTGCTCCTTCTCCTTCCTTCAATACTCTATCTCTAGTAAATAATCTGTAGCCTGGTATTTCAAAAACATTCTCTCATCCAAATTGTTCAAATCCAACCAAGTCTCAGTGATACCCATAATATCAAAATCCTCAGTTTCCACAACTGCTTGAACTCATCAGTTTTATTTCTAATACAGTTAGCATTTCAATAGTAACAATTATTTATATACTTTAAAATATGTTTATGTTTTATGCCTGTTGTACATGTTTTTCTGTCAATTATATTTCCTATTTTACAAATAGCATAGCCCTCACCTCTGTCTATCCCTAGTTTAAATCAGCCAAAACAACTAAACCAATAGCTCTTGCTAATATCTAGCTCCTGCCTTGTTTAAGTGAGCTACTTAGTATTCATCCTCACAATTTATTCTTGGCAATATTTCTGACAAAATCAAGCTATGACCCCTTTCCTTAAATGTGCCCTTATGAATGTTTTATACTTATCAATAGGCTCATCAGATCCATCTTTCCTTACATCATTAGCACCAACATATACCACAAAAACTGCGTTGCTACTAGCACCCTTAACTATCTCTCTGATTCTATATGTTATATCCTGTACCCATTACTACTAGTACCCTTAACTATCTCTCTGATTATATATGTTATATCCTGTACCCATTACTACCAGTACCCTTAACTATATATCTGGTTCTATCTGTTATATCCTGTACCCAATGCTACTAGCACCCTTAACTATATATCTGGTTCCATCTGTTATATCCTGTACCCATTACTACTAGCACCCTTAACTATCTCTCTGGTTCTATCAGTTATATCCTGTACCCATTACTACTAGCACCCTTAACTATCTCTCTGGTTCTATCAGTTATATCCTGTACCCATTACTACTAGCACCCTTAACTATCTCTCTGGTTCTATCAGTTATATCCTGTACCCATTACTACTAGCACCCTTAACTATCTCTCTGTTTCTATTAGTTATATCCTGTACCCAATGCTACTAGTACCCTTAACTATCTCTCTGTTTCTATCAGTTATATCCTGTACCCATTGCTACTAGCACCCTTAACTATCTCTCTGTTTATATTAGTTATATCCTGTACCCCTGCTCCTGGATAGCATAAATGTACTCTTTTGCTCCTATTTACTCCACATACTACTCTATATACATGCCTAATTAGAGAGTCACTTAAAACTATAACTTCCTTATCCTTTACACTATTATCCCCCGTGATACCATCTGTTTCCCTTACCTGCTTCCCCTCATCTCTAACAAGTGCTTGGAACTGGTTGCTTAACCTAAACCCAAGCCCATCTTTGCCCCTAAATGCAGTATTTCCCAAGCTTTTAGTCCTATTTTCTTTCTAGCCTTTATTGATAAAATATAAAAATAAAGTATCAATAGAGTACAGAAACTATTATTAATGAAATATACCAATTAACCATTAATAACAGTGTACAAAAGCTTATTATTATTACCATAGCCTAGAAACTGACTATAATATTAACAGTGTATAAAAACTAGCAATTATTAAGAAAGTAAAGAAACTAGTCATTAATTAATATGGCGCCCCCCAGTGGCACAGCGGTATGCCTGCGGACTTACAACGCTAGAAACCGGGTTTAGATACCCGTGGTGGCAGAGCACAGATAGCCCATTGTGTAGCTTTTTGCTTAACTGCAAACACACAATTAATATCGTATTAAAACAACTATTCAAATATAGAAACTAAAGTATAGATGTTAACTATTATTAATAGTGTATATATATATGAATATCAATGTAATACTACGTGCTAGTAATAAAACATGGACTTAAGCTCACACACAACTAATTATCTGCCACTATTTCAGTTTAAACTGTACTCTCTCGACCGTTATTCACAAGCGAAGTTTCACTTTCTTCGTCATGTTCAGGGCCTTTCCTCTTGAAGTATAGTTTGGAGTGGTCTGTTGACGGCTCGTGCCGCTTTACATTGGTAAGGCAATTGCCAGTTTTGAGAAGAGACAGGTCAGAATACGTTATGTCATCAGCTTGCTAAAAAAACAACATAGAAGAAGAATACGCATATTAGGAATTAATAGTTCTATTCCACACAAATAAAACAACAAAAAATACATTAATAAAATCAATGTTATGGAGCACAAAAAAGATCAAATAAATTAGACGCAACTACGACAGTGGTTTGTTTATTAATTTGTTTTTAATTATTAATTAATTGTTTTTTGTTTGTTTGTTTGTTTTATTTATAATATACTTTTGTTAAAGCGTTAAAATGTTGCAAGTGTCATAATATAAATATGAGGGTCATGACTTCAAACATCCATTTCATTCAAACCCTCAATCTTCTATTGGATATAATTTATGTAAAATATGAGGTCTGGTGGAAATTTACTTCAATTTTATTAATACGACCTTGAATTTGACCTTCATACGAGTTTAGGGTAGCAACGATTATAAAAGTTCTGTGTTATTTATTATTTTAAAACTACAGTATAGTTGGTTTATGGAAAATAACACAAAATTTCAACCAGTATCAAGGGATGTGTATAATTAAATCTATCCAACTTTCTTACCAGTGTAATTGAAAGTCCCCTGTGGCAAGAAACGTCTACAAGACGGCTGGCTGCACACGCGGGACTACCGTAAAGAGATTCCTTAGAAACTACATAGTTTCTGTTTGGAGATCTTATACTGTAGCTTGTTTCCATGGTTTTATTCAGTTGTATACATCTTTGATCCTTTTCATCCATGCTACCTTAATATAAAATACATGTTATTCTTACTGGAAATCCGAACAGGGCCATTAAAGAAAGATATACTAGAAATTACCATTGTGACGTAATGCTATAGAAATGGCCAATTTCTAAAGCACTCTTCATCAGCATACGACATTCTATACCATAATAATTTGTATCTTATAAATAACAAACTAATAGCGTTTCGACCAAGAACGTATTTACCTTGCATGTCTAATCGACCCGATGAATTCCGCTTTTATGCGAAAAGCCTCGTTGGCAGCGGTGTGTGCTGCACACAAAGTGTACGGTCAAAATACTGTAATGTACTTCTTAGTCGAGATTGGGCCACTAAAGAAATATTATTGTTATCAGTGTTACCTAATGTCACACAAGTTGTTGTTGTTCTTTATTATTAAGCACAAAGCTACGCAAAGAGCTGTCTGTGCTCTGCCCACCACGGGTATCGAAACCCCGATCCCAGCGGTATAAGTCTGTAGATATACCGCTATGCCACTGAGTGGCATGTCACACAAACCAACAATCTACAGATCACGCTTCCCAGGTATTTCATACTATAATAGTTGATATTTAACGTTACCTCTTCAAAATTCACATTGGTATAATAAAATGGAACAGTAAGTATATATATATATATTGTTTCTGATTAGGATTGTGTATTTTATTTTAAAAGATAGGAATAGGTTTAACTTCTTAATTATGCTTGGATCTGACTTTGAAATGGTATGACATACATGTTAAATTATTCATGAAAATTCTTTCTTTACAATGATCAATGCCAATAGATACTTTAAAAAAAATTCATATTCCAACTTAATGTATATTCGCTATTTGTCCGTTATGGCAAGTAAAAATACTTATTTTAGAATTTAAAAATATAAATACATTCAGAAAGAATATATAATTTTAATTACATTTAAGCTGAGGACAGTAATCTGTTAATATTATAAACAATAAAAGAAAATTATTTTATCAGTTTGAAATAAATCGCTTTATGTAAACAAACTTCTAAAAATTACAAATCCATAACAATACAAGTTATGAACTCGAAATGATATTTTGGATTAACTGCTACAGAAAGCTGTTCATAACCAGTTTAAGTATTATACTCACCGAAAAACTTTGTATTTTAATTTGTTCCGTCGAAATACATCGAATTAGATTGCTTTAGAAAAAACAAAACTAACTGATACCTGAATCTGGTGATCTGTTAACATTTTTTGCGGGAATTATATCTGGACATTTGTCGTCGAGTTCAACAATGTCATCAATATCCTTCTTCAGAGGGGTCACGGACCTAGGCGCAAAAGCACTCTTAAGCAAAATTGTACCCAAGCTACTAAATTTCAGACCTAGAACCAAAAGCACTCTTAAGCAAATTGTACAGAAGCTGCTAAATTTCAGACCTAGAATTAAGAGCACTCTTAAGCAAAGTTGTACACAAGCTGCTAAATTTCAGACCTATAATTAAGAGCACTCTTAATCAGAATTGTACAGAAGCTGCTAAATTTCAGACCTATAATTAAGAGCACTCTTAACCAAAACTGTAAACAAGCTGCTAAATTTCAGACCTAGAATTAAGAGCACTCTTAAGCAAAATTGTACACAAGCTGCTAAATTTCAGACATAAAATTAAGAGCACTCTTAAGCAAATCGTACAGAAGCTGCTAAATTTCAGACATAAAATTTAAAGCACTCTTAAGAAAATTGTACACAAGCTGCTAAATTTCTGCTTCATATCGAATGGAGAAACTAATAGGATATGGGTTAAAATCTTCGTTTTCATCGAACCTACACACAAACATATATATATATATATATATATTTCTTTACGATTATCCTGTGTCGCACAACGTTGTTAAAAAACTTGATTAATTAATGAACTAGTTCTGAATGTATGCGTACAATGTTATAAAAGAATGTTGTAATAGAATAGTTACATGGAATAACATGATATAAAGATTACCCACGTAAATCTTTCACTGCAAAAAAAATACAAGAAACAAATAACCTCCTAAGGATAATACTCTAATATACAAATATTATAATAGGATAATACTCTAATATACAAATATTATAATATGATGATACTCTAATATACAAATATTATAATAGGATGATACTCTAATATACAAATATTATAATAGGATAATACTCTAATATACAAATATTATAATAGGATAATACTCTAATATACAAATATTATAATAGGATAATACTCTAATATACAAATATTATAATAGGATAATACTCTAATATACAAATATTATAATAGGATAATACTCTAATATACAAATGAAACGAATATAGCTAAAAGCGGAGGGTGGGGGTCTGAAGATGATCTTTATGCGTTTTTTTTTTATCTCGCTGGCTTCAGGGTCTTTGTGTTCTTTACAACTGTGGGTCTTTTTTTCTCTTTTCGATTCAATCATCTTGCATGTTCATTTCGTATCTGGAGTACGTTTCGGAAACTTCTGTAAACTATTTTGTGTATTACGAACCAAGATGTTACTACTCTGTTCTTACTACAAATAACATATTTAATCAGGTGA